GTTAATTTTAAAAAGAAAAGTCTTGCAGCATTTTTATTTTTTCTTAGCACAATGGTTTTAATCTTGAACCCAAATTGGTCAAAATATTGTATTGGAAGAGTTCACTTGTTAGATTTAATTGGGGGCATTTTTAGTTTAAATAAGAATAAACATACATATATTTATATATTTTTAAATTATTATGTATTTGTCTGATGTTAACTGATTACTAAAAATTCTATTTAAAAATATTAGTGAAACTATGAAAAAATTCATAATTTGAACCAAAAGACTGATATTTCAGAGTTTTCTTAAATTAGATTACAAAATCGAAATAGTAGTCGAATTTTTTACAAATCGGGTAATGTCGAATTACCTACTTTGGCTCATTCTGCAACCAAAAGCATTTTACGAATTGGGTAATTAAAAAATATAAATACATCTTACATACACTAAAAAATACCAAATTGATATTTGCCATAAAAAAATGAGCCAAATTTTCCAAACACAGCTGCATGAATTAAAAATGTAATTATTGAATTTCATATTAACACATGATAATATTTGAATTAATTATTCGTTTGTTTGTAGAAAAGAACAAATCAGCGATTCCAAACAAAGTGGTCAAATATCTTTTACTCAAGACTATAAAAAATACAAAGAACAAAAAAAAGAAAGACAGAAAAGAAGAGAAAAGAAAAAAGAACGTGAACAAGAAAGAACGTTCTTTAAAGATATGATGGAAAGAAAAGATCAAATAATGGTATTTAATCTTTATTTTAAAAATAATAATTTTAATAATTGTTATTAATTTTTTTTTATAATTATAGGAAAGAAAAGACGAAAAGATGTATACTATTATTTTCTGTTTGATAATGATTTTGCTATTAACAATTTTGAAAGATTACGAAAATTCTATTATAATGTATATAATTATCATAACATGTTTATTTAAAATTTATTTTAAATAAAGACAAAATTGGCCATTATATGTAAATCTCTATCAACAAGTTCCTGCGAATAAATCAATACAATATCCAAAACTATACTGTGATATTTTATTTATGTATTGTAATTTATAACATTTTTTAAAAAACTACTAATCGATTCTTTAAAAAATCCTAAAATTAAACAGATAATATTATAAATATAACCCAACTATTCAATTGGTCTTTTAAAAAAAATAATGAAGCAATAATAAGAAAACAAAAAAAGAAAATATTAATTTTTTCATTCTGTTTTTCAATAATTTCATATATTCTTTCATCTTTTTTTTCAATCATTTCTTTAAAAAAGTTTCTTTCTTCTTTATGATCTTTATTTTCTTCATGTAATCTTTTATATTCAGAGCCGAACATTTGAGTGCAAAAAATGAATCAGATTCAGATTCTTGCATTAGAAGATTCACAAACACTATTTTAAATAAATAATATTAATTTGTAAATTAAATTGCTAATCTTTTATTAGAATTTTTCATATATACTTCTTAAAATAGAATGACTTACTAATAAACACTTTTTCAAAATATAAAACATTATTGTTTTTCTAAAGTATAAAAATAAAGTTGTTCATTTTTAGCTAACAAATTATAATTTGTTGCCTTCCAATCACTGATGTTAAACTTTCCTTTTTTACGCTCTTTTAACTCATATAAATACTGAATCTTGTACTCTCGCTCGTTGGGATTGTCATCTTCCAAAATATCCAAAGATGAACTGACTATTTGTTTTGAAGTAACCTTGATTAGCTCTTCCTCTTCATCAGTTAAGTAGTTACTAGTAATAGATCTGTTAAGCATCTTCTGATGTACTGCCTCAATATCAGTATCAACAAACATCTTTAATTGATTGATAGCTATTTGTATTTTTATAATAGCTATATTATACTCAAGAAAATTCAATTGTTATAAAATATGAGAATAAACTTTTCCAGAGTTAAATTCTAAAATTAATTTAGTTTTAAAATATACTTTATAACCAAAAATATTACAATTAGAAAATACAAAACTTGGAATACCATTATTATACTCAAAATGAAATAACTCTTTTATTTCATGTTTATCTTCAAAACTATAGTCTGTTAAATTATTAATAAACTTAAAATTATTTAAAAAAGCTATTCTATATTCGCCATTAACCCGTGGTTCAACTACAATTAAAAAATTATCCAAATTATTTTTAAATAACAAAAAATTATTTAAATTTATTTTGAAAACGAAATAAATATATATTAAAAAATACATATCAAGACTTTATATATATAAATAGCCAATAATTACTATATAATTATAATTACTAAGCTATACTTATTAACTAAATATTCGCATTCTCCTTATTGAGATGACGGCTTTCTTCATTTTGCTTTTCTATAAT